ATGCTGCAGGCATTCACTGGTGAGCATCTATCATAGTCTTGTTTTCAGCTAGGAGCATAAACTCCCAAATTAACATCCTGAACAAGGGCTAGATTAATCAGAAAGATTTTATAATGCCAAAAAATAAAAGTAAGCTATCCTTGAAGAAAATTTGTAAAGTATTAGAATTATCAGAAACCAGTGCTTAAAAATGTAAATAATTTTTTTGTGCCATTAGATTTGTAAAAAATGTGTACATAACAAACTTGTATGATATGATACTTGTATGATATTTAAATAATATTTAATGTCTACAAAACATGATCAAAATTTATAGGAAAGCATCCTGTTAAAAAAAGGTAGTTATGAAACAATTGGAAATGACTGTTTATGTATCTGGCAATATCTTACAAGTGGTGAAAAGACAGTAAATAAGAATTACATAAATCCGATCATTAGAAACGAAGTTTCATCTTCTGAAAATTAACGGTGTTGGACCAATTACACTGTCCTCTTTCCTTAAAGATATACTTAGCAAGTAAACATTAGACTGTCTGAGACAGTGGCCACTGAAACAAAATCCTTTTATGTTACTTCAATGACAGCTGCACATATTGTTTAGTCTTACCTAAAAGATAAAGCAACTCCAGTTGGCATAAAGATAAAAAACCCTCACCTAAAATTGTTCCAACCTGAAGCAGAAATGGAAATGTGATGGTATGTGTTTCAAAATGCAACTGCAAGATGAAAACATGATGGCTTGTGGAAAGTATTTGTTGTAAGAAGGAAAAACTTGTTGTATCTAGGAAAAACTTTGAAAAAGGTAAATAGAATAATGACTTGGCAACCAATATTAAAAGGTATAGAAATAACTTGTGAAAAAAAGAAGAAAAAATAGCCATACTGATGTTGCCAGAATATGAGCTCTTTTCTAAAATTCACTCAGATTTTCTGAGTACCAAATATCGTAGCTGGAATACCACTAATGCTTTAAAAGACTGGGGTTTTTTCCATACATAAGCTGTTTCCCTTTTTTACAGTAGATTATTTTCCCCAGGCTAAATATTTTAGAAGAGTAAGAGTACTTCACAGTCCTAACACTTGAGGAAAGGGCTTTGTAGACCACATCACCCTCAGTTCTCCTAAAATTGCCAGAAGAATTAGTAATTTTTGACCTTCTGGCAAAGTGTTCAGCCCTCCATTCTAACTCTATGGCAGGCATTCAGCACCACCTAGTCTATGTAACTTTAATCTTTTTCCATTAATATTTTGCATATATTTCAGTTGCTAGAAATTTCTGGTGACTTTCTAATTATCATTCAGGACATACTTAGCACTAAATCTAGGGAATAACAACCCTCACAGTAATTTGTATATGTTCCGCAAACACAAGTTGCTACTGATACAACTACATAATGTAGTTCTTATTGAGGCTCTTATATTCATTTTGATATCTTGGCAATCCCATAAGCATTTTTTCTTATAATCTGTCAGGGTCGAGATTTTTACACTCAGTTAATGTTGTATTGTGCTATTAGAAAAGTCAAGTTGTCTAGGAAAACACTTGTTTTCTGTTGCATTAATGCAGCCTTATATTCAGCAGGTAGATCTGATGTTGCTATGTGTTTGATGAGCAGAAAGGTTTCTTTTTCCATAAGGGTGGTGAAAATATTTAGTGGAACATTGCTTTAGACAGCATTGAAAAACATAACTTGCTCAAGCTGGTTACCAGTAGATTATCTTTCTTCCCACATACATCCACTGTACATTTGCTTAAATTTATTAAAGCTTATTTGGCTTATGTCAAAGTCAAGAAATTCAACCTCTGCCTTCTCAGTTCAGCCAGCTGATGTTAATGCATAATAATATATTCTTTATGTACACAAATCACATTTTTTCACAGTTACGTGATCTTACTCTCTAAAGAGAATGAATACTTTTTCTTCAAGGAAGAGTTATTCAAGATTTTGATTTTGTGGCCTTTTTGAAGGGTTCATTGTAGAGCTTCAGGTTTCATTTATAGCATTCTATTCAAACCCAACACTGAAGATAAAAATTAACACTTTAATATACACATTTTTTTATGATACTCGCCTCTAAAATACCACTTATGCTACAAACATAAGAGTTTAATTTCACAATATGCTACTATAATATGAGAATTTCCTCAATTACCAATATTTTCCAGTAATAGTGGTACCTAAAGATAGGATCATGTTTTTAAGTTGTTTATTATATAACATATGAAAGCTCAGCTCCAGATTCAGCTTCAAGGTCTGAAAAAATGAACCCCAAAATATTCAACAATCATACTAACGCCAAATCTTTTTTTTACTTAAATTTTCTGTCTTAGCAAAACAATTTCCATGCTCATAACAAAAATTTATCTGAAGTCAAGTTTTAAAAGAACCCTTCCTGAAAGACAAATTAAAAGTCCTGTCTGCAAAAAGGTATCTGGTTTCCAAGCAGTTTCCACCCCCAGCACTTTACTCATTCAGCTGACATACTAATCATGAGCTGGCAGCCTGGGGCTTGATTTCCAAACTCATAATTCCTTTTTTTTTTTTTCCTTTAAGCTAGACTACTAGGATATCCTCCTATACTCCTGCTTGCCTGCAATTTTCACATGAAACAGCTTGTGTTTCCAAGACTTTCAGTTTGTCATTCTACAGCAGCCAGTTGAAAAAGCCTGGAACAACCATGGTATATAAGTTTATGAAAGCCTGAAATTTGGCTGATTCAGAGACAAGAGTACCTACTCTTCTTAAACTCATGCATTTCCAAAGTTAAAACTATTCAGAGAGAAATGTATATCCTCTATCACCCTTCAATACAACACCTTTTAAAGGGAAAAAATCCCTTTTAACTTTGTCCTTATCATTTGAGTAAAGTAGGTAAATGATTGCAATGTTAGCAAATTATAATGGTGAGCAGCAGCAGAAGTTTTAGTGGATGGCAAAGAAAAAAATTTAGAATAGGAAGTCTCCAGCTAAGCAGAATGTTACTAAGAAAATATAAATAGAATTATTTTCAAATTCTATTTTAAAATTCTATTCTATTCTTATTACATTTTAATAAGTGTCTGGGGTTTATATGTTACCACCTAATCAATCCTGCAATATTCCGGACAGGGGAAAAAAAACCTGCCAACACTACCTTTTAATTTACTTTCCACTTCTTGATTCATCAGATAAACTAAGAGCTTTCAGTTCCATACAGTCTCTTGTTCTTGTATCAGTTGCCACTATGTCAAAGATAAATTCTGAAAGCAGTGCTTTTTTTCCTGTGTCATCTTCTGCTTGAAGAAGCTGTGATGTTTATGCTGAAATGGTCTGGAATTCTGCCAAAGGCTTCAGGATAAGCATATTTCAGTCTGGCAGTGAATCCCCAGTCAAAGATAAAACAGCTACAGACACCATCACAAGAAAGTTATTTATAAATCCAGATACTAAATCAAGAAAAACTGGTGCAGCAGTCTTTTAATGGAGGCCATTTGTTCCAGGTGTCATTAGTATAAGTATCAAATGTGGTACTTTGTGCATGTATCAAAATGTAAACAACAGCATAGGTAGCATCCAGAGAAAGATAATTTCTGTTTTTCTCTGACAGTATTTGCAGGTTGAACATTTCTAACTGGGCATTTAAAGCCTGAGATTGGTAAGGGACTATGCATTTGAAGACATTTGAAATAATTTGTTAAAAAAGTAGTTTTGAGAATTTTAGCAGCTAAAACACCATATTGGTCCATAGATAGTTTTGTCTTTCCTACTAACCTGCTACTATCTGCTTATATTTTGCATGCTGAGAATAAATGCATAGAATAATTCACCAAGCCCATCTTGGATTAGCACTGAAACTGTACATAATCTGAAACTAATAATATATTTTATTACAGGTTGCAATAGAAGCTCGTATTTCATCTTCCATGAATAATCTCAAAACTACAAAGTAGAATATCAAATGTCTATGTATATATGCATTTATATACCTACAAACATGCATGTAAAGATAAAATTGAGAGCTTTCTGTACTTATGGGCATGAATAACTAAAGCTTTACATGTAATAGTTATCTTAAAAAAATTAATAAAAGTGACATCAATGTTTCTTGTGAGTCTCTTCTTAGAAATTAGAATGGTTGGGAGGTATTCAGATAGGTTATCATTTAAGCAACTAAAACCAGAAAATATAATCTCTTCTTAAAAAATGAATTCAAAACATGATGGATTCTGTTGTCTTTGAAGAATATAATATCCCTTTGTTTAAAAATGAATCAGCAGAATGTTCCATTGCCTAATTTTCCAGTTTAGAGGCAGAGAAAAATGGAGCATCAGTACTGTCTGGGAGCTGTCTAGGCCACTGCCCAGCATCTCTTTTTTTTACTGAAAAGCATGTCTTTAGGAAAAACAACTGCGTCTGTTTTCAAAATGACTCTTAGAAGTTAAGAATATTTGAATACTTGCAAGCAGTTTCAAAGAGAACAATGTAAAAGTCATACACAAGTCATGGAAGCTTGAAATATAAATGGGAGAAAAGATTTTAGTTTCAGGACTGAACAAGTTAAGGGCTAGTTAATGCAATGAAAGGAAGTTAAATAAAGAAGGTAAATTTGAGTTTGGAAATTTATTAGAAATAGTGTTTTTTGCTTATTTTTCAAGTGAGACTATTTAAAACCAAAACAAACCTTAAAGCTATGAATGTTTTAATTTGATATGGATTCTAAGTCTGTGTGATTGAAAGAATCCAAATAAATGGCATGATAAAAATAATAGGTCATGGTAGATAAAATAGTAGATAAAGACAGTTTAAAAAGGTAGCTTAACTTAAAGATGCAATTCTTGAAAGAAAACTAAAATTGAGTCTCTTATTTCTGATATATGACAATGAATTTTGAGCTAGGAAATATAAACTAATTACATTTAAAGTGTTCCACTGAGACTGCTCATTAATATAACTAGAGCAGAAATGACAGAAAAGAGCAAAAGAAAAACTAATACTTGCCTTTTTATATTTATTTTACAGGAAATGTGTTTGTTGTAAGCCTGGCAGTTGCCGACTTGATAGTAGCTATCTACCCTTATCCACTGGTCCTCACATCTGTGTTTCACAACGGATGGAAACTGGGATACCTACACTGCCAGATTAGTGGCTTCTTGATGGGCCTAAGTGTCATTGGATCAATCTTCAATATTACAGGCATCGCTATCAATCGGTACTGCTATATCTGCCACAGCCTCAAATATGACAAGCTGTACAGCGACAGGAATTCATTGTGCTATATTGTTCTCATATGGCTCCTAACATTTGTTGCTATCGTGCCCAACCTGTTTGTGGGATCGCTCCAGTATGACCCCAGGATTTACTCGTGTACGTTTGCACAGTCTGTGAGCTCAGCATACACTATAGCAGTTGTGTTTTTCCACTTCCTGCTTCCCATAGCCGTAGTTACTTTCTGTTACTTGCGAATATGGATCCTCGTTATCCAGGTAAGGCGAAGGGTTAAACCGGATAACAACCCTCGGCTGAAACCACACGACTTCAGAAACTTTGTAACCATGTTTGTGGTATTTGTACTGTTTGCAGTCTGCTGGGCTCCTTTGAACTTTATAGGCATTGCAGTGGCTGTCAACCCAAAAACTGTAATCCCTAGGATTCCAGAGTGGTTGTTTGTGTCCAGCTATTACATGGCATATTTCAACAGCTGCCTTAATGCTATAGTATATGGACTCCTGAACCAGAACTTCAGAAGAGAATACAAGAGAATTATTGTCAATTTTTGTACAGCAAAAGTTTTTTTCCAGGATAGTTCTAATGATGCAGGAGACAGAATGAGAAGCAAACCTTCTCCACTGATTACAAACAACAATCAAGTGAAGGTGGACTCTGTTTGAAAAAGGGAATTTTACTATTATCACTCAACAGCGTTCAACAAAATTGTCCATTTTATTAGACCACCTGTTAAATATTGTGAAATATACCTTCTACACTGAAAGCACTTTGATCAAATTCCTCTCATGGTGTTTGGAAGCTTGTTACAGAGCCTTGACATACAGAGCCTCTTATGCAATGGCATATCCCCTGTATAATGACATAGTGATATCCTTGAGGAAATAAAAAGTTATGAACGGCTTCCTTTTTTTTTTCTTAGATGGAGATAAGCACCTAGAAAGAGATTGAATCAGCAGTATCCATATTGCCTGGTTCAGTAAAACAAGTAATAAAACTATTCCTGCCACTTTCCACATGCTTTTTCTGTCCATGTTACAGTCCTGATTCTAAAACCTCTGAAAACTTATTTTAAAAAAATGAAATCAGGCCTTTATGAAATATATTATGAGAGGTGAAGTGAAAAATCAAGGTAACTGAAAATTCATTAGGATTTTTGGTAAGTACTTCTATCCATATTTCTTTGCTACTAACATAGACATGAATATAATTTTTTTGTATATTAAACCTCACCATCCCTCCTAGGAATGACATTCTCAATTGACTTCTTAATTTTAAAATAGCATTTAGGAGGAGAAACATGCCTGAATTATTATCTTCAAAGCTCCAAGGGCAGGACGATAAACAGCAAGGAAGGAAAAGAGCCATGATTCATCAGCTCAGGCCATTTCAGCATGAAAAAGGGGTGTAGGAGGGTTGGGAAGGGAAATATAAGTTACCATTATTTCTGAAGAGACTGTAACTCATGAAATCAGGAAGTGCCCCAGAGGAGTTTCTGAGGAAACACCTAGAAAAATAAGTGAGGAAGAACTGTTATATCTCACTTGTGTACAAGACAGAAGTTCTAAATCTCTGTGAGAAGAAGATTAATGCATCTAATAGGAGTGATAGTTGAATATGGAAGTTTTGTCTAGTTAGTGGAATCTTGAGCCCATGAAACACTGGGTAATAATATTATTACCCAGGGTGAGTATTTAACATCTTTCTGAAACTGACCTCCTGAGAATAACTTGAGGCTAGCAGTTGTTTTTTAGTCTGCCACTGATAAAATTTTCAAATTAATAATTAGGTATTTGCCTCAATTATGAACATAGTGTAATAACCTAGAACAATTAGATACCTTTAAATAACAGAAAAGAGAACATACTACTTATAACAGTAGTACAAAGAGGAACATGTGATTATCAGGACTTTCCACAGACAGCAGGGACCTCTTCAGTAAGGGGAAATACAGTGTGAAATGAGGAAGAATAGCAAGACAGGCTGTCTCCTGCAACAATGAATCTCTCTTTATAATGAAGTCCTCTGGCAGAGAAAAGCAATTCACAACGATAGGATTCACCTTCAAATTGACCTTAAAAAGAAAGAGCATTTAGTTCTGGAAAGAAGCTCCAATTGTCATACCTTTTAATGCTCAATTGTTTATACCTACAGTGACGTTCAAGTACACTTGAGCTTTTCCAAGCCAATTCCAACAATATCAGTGGGGAAAAGAGCTTCTGAATAGCCATGAGACTTTTGTTAATCTATGTTAAAATGTGAATTTTATTTAAACAATTATTTTAAAACATTATTTACTTTACTGGAGATTTTCTTGAGCTTATATGTATCAGAAAACAACTGTCATACTGTCATAGAGCTCCTTAAATTGCATATAGCCTGCATATCACAGCATTCCATCTTTCTTCAATCATAGATTAGAATACCCTTGGTTTACTAATGGACTAAAGGAAATCGATTCATATTTACTTGAAATCCCCACTGACACCTCATCATCTGACCAGTTTCTTACTCAAAAACAGGTGCCTCATGTCAAGTTGTCAATGGAACTAAATGAACAACATTAAAAAAGCTTGGATATGAACTAGCAAGTCAATGCATTGTTGAGGTGCTTGACTCATCTTTGTTTACATTTTCCAGTCAGAACCACTGTGTAAATAACCAGCTCTCTTCTACTGGGGTATCATCATATGATATGATACAACATGATTTACAGCATAAAATATATCACAGCTTTCTTCACTGTGAATTCATCCTTGGAGGATGCTTAGCTCTGTAATTTTATTGCTTTGTGTGTAGTGAATAGCAAGGGAGGCATGACCACCTTACAAGTAAATGAGTTTTTCATGCAAGCAAAAATATTCTTTAAATTCTTACAAAAATTGCCTTATTTAAAGCATATTTTCAATGAAAATAATGTCTTCTTATATATCTATGAAAGTAGCATAAAGACAGTTAAAGTAGCTTAATCATTAGTAAGTTTAGAATTCTAAACGACCTCTCACTTTCCATTTCCTACAGAAAATGTACATCTGTATCATGTCTACCCATTTATGAGCTGGTTCAAGATACTGTATCCAATATGTGGGTTATCTGAGGAATTAAAGTCCCCTTCAAGTGCTAAAATATATTTTTGATGATAATTAAAATGGTTTGCTATATACAACAGAACATATTATACCAAAGGTATATATTTTATGAATAGGCCTGTAATAAAAATGGAGAGCATTTTTCAGATCTGTATTTTGAAATATTTGTATTAAATCAAAATCATAGAAATGCGCATGTTGGTGATGTTATGAGCTGCTAAATATAGCAATAATTTTAAGAAATTTATCTCTTGTTCTTCTTTGGGTGGAAAGTTGATAATTTTGCTTAAATTACTATGGGTGAAATCTTTGGATAATACCTGCTGCCCTCTTGAAATTACTTTTGCATTTACTGCCATTCTGAAGTATGTTTTAGGTAAGGATTGCAAAACTGGTCATTGCAAAAGTAGGAGAATAATGACTGATGCTTAACTCTGCAGCAATGGTTACTTTTAATTTCAGTCTATTGTTTCCAAAGACTCAAAGTGATTTGTGCAAGACAATCAGCAGCCTTGCCAGCTGTTCACTGACAATGAGCATGACAGTGTAAGTCAGCCCGTCACAAGATCTGACTCTTTATGGTCAACATAAAGATGACTGGTGAAAATAATAATTATTTCTGTCCATTCTAAGGAGACACAGTTTGAAACATCTGGGATTACTTGCTTCTGTGAAAGTGGATGAGCCATGGTATGCTTTCTTATAGTCCAAGTCATTAAGTTTTCTCCAGTATGAAAGGTTAGCATAGCACAATTGCATTATTAAGAGTTCTGTCTGGGTGATTTATCTAGTGTACTTATCCTATAGCAGTCATCAGCCCTGGATAGATTTATTCCTAAAATGCTAGTCTTACTCTGCAGCATCTGAAAATGCCCATCCCTTTCCTACTTCCCTTGCATTTCTGATCTGAGCCCCAGTGAAGCCAAAGGACCTCTGTGAAGGAGCAGTGAAACACCCCTGTCCCCCTCCCTGTATGCAACACACTTACAGCCTTATTGAATGCTACCTATTCCTGCAAGAGTTCCTTTCCTATATCACAATCTTGATTATGTTGACAATCTGAGTATGATCTTATCAGCACACCTTGAACCCATACAGATAGATTGTTTTATTGGTGGTCATCTGCATCGCAAACTTAATGTTTACAAAGAAGCTTGGCATTATTAAATATTTACCAGCAAAGAGAATCATAATGAATATATTAATATCAAACAGGGTATATATTTAAACTGTAGCTGTATGCAACAATGTAGTTTCATTTGGAGTAGCTTTGCACTTTTCTCTTTGCACATTTTCTTCTATCACTAGGCTAGTGCAAGTGCATAGATATGAAACAAGTATATGTTATTTCAATAGACACAATATGTAGCAATGATTTTACTTATTTTTCTTCTAATTTGTTTTAGAAGGCAGGTATATGAATTATCCATAATAAAGAGACTATCATGAACAATCCGTATCAGTGTATAGTGCATTCCTATATAATCGTCACATCTTTGTCTTCTTTTTGACCACTATTGAAATGTTATCGTGTTAGATCTCATTAATTATGATATACTGAAGGGAACTGTAATTTACCTTACATGGCACAGAAAAAAACATCATTAAAAATCCTTAAAATGTAATACACAAGTACATCAATCTATGTGGTCATACAATTTGAAATAAATTTCAAAAACTCCTTTTATTTGAACAATCTGTTCATAAACTCTAGTGATGTTATTCTTTAATTATTTTCTAATAAATGCACTTTCTAAGTATAATTAAAGTGGTTTATGAATAATTAAGAACTACAAATGTCTGTCATTTTGTCACTGACGCTTGGGAAATCACACATGCTAAAGCCGACTTTCTTAGCAGAAAAAATATACAAGTAGTGGCCTGGCTTATAGCCCATGTACTGTTTCTCAAATTTTTGCCTGTAATAAGAATTCCATTATGTGGTTTTATGAATCTACTTATTAAAAATATTATTCCTACCTCAAATACGTGTCTGAGAGATTGCAATGTGTATATGGTGGAAAAGACTCACAGTATAATTCAATATCCTTCGATATATTCAGTTTTTAATATAAACAAAAATAAATTCAGCAGAGAAGTTCATATATTAATAATGGTTATAGAAAATATTTTCCCAATTGAATGAAATACTCATCACTCACACTATCCCAGCTACCAAACACTGACCGAAGTAAACACATTTTGAGAACCATGTTATTCATAAAAGTATATACATTATTCCAAAAGATTATCCAAAATTATACCCAAATAGCCTTTGAGACACAGCGTCTGTTTCATCTCACATAAACCAATACAGTTTCACTGATTCCTGTCATCTGAGAATTTTGGTATATTTGAGTTAATAAATCTAAAAACTAGCTATTTTACTCTATTACACAAACAATATATACTTTATTTCTGTCAGATGTCCAGGTTGTAGGAGAATGTGAATCTGCCTGCTAATGATCTGCAAAATTCACCTCATCCAGCAAACCAAAAAATGATTTGTCATTTTTATAAATAAATATAAAAAATCCAGAAGTCTTAGCTTCAGTCTTAATTGTATAAATAGCAATATTTAGCAGAAAATTATAACAAACTTAAGAGATTTAGAGACATGAAGTCTACTTGCCATTATTCTTTTTGCTTATATTGTATGTGTGCACACGGATTTCATTTAATCACACCAAGAATTTTACTTTGCACATTTGTTTCAAGATTCTAAAATATGTACAAATATTCAGCTAGTTTATAAAAGTCAGAGAAATACAATTATATTATCAGGTGTATGTCTCAAACCAGAATATTTTTCCATACAACTTAGGCTGTGAATTGTTCTACCATAGAGCACTGCCTACATGAACCCAAAGAAACAATTGCACTGATTCACAGAAAGAAGATTCTGTTTACTTTTTAATCATACAATATCAGATGCTTAAAAAATA